TCTTTACATGAATCATGGGAAGGGAATAGGGCATTGGCTGATACTCCAGAAAGTCAATAGTAAAGGCTGTGATTCCTTTTTGCTAGTATAAGGTTAAAAGCATTATCCAGAGGTATCCCTTATCTCACATTCCATCTTTTCCATGCTCCCTCTGTCTCCATCTCTTTCCTCTGTACTTGCCAAGGTCCAAACGTAGTGGAAACTAAATATGACAGTGGAAAAAGCTGTAATTTAAGGGTGATTTTTGTTTAGCTTAACATTGTCTGGAACCTCAGCTTTGTGTTTCAATGTTCCTGCTGTCAAAATAATGTATTGTATGAAAGCAAATGAGTACAAAATTAGTGTGACAGCAAATGTGGGTCTCAAATGGGGAACATCCTTTCTGGTGACAGACTCTTGAAAGGTGGCTTCCCTCCTTCCTTTCACCATCCTGAATAATAAGTAAGTCTGTGATTTAGTCATGGCTGTTTTTAGCAAAAGTCACGGACAGGTCATGGGTAATAAACAAAAAATGTACAGCCTCTGACCTGTCCAAGATCTTTACTATAAATACCCCAACAAAATTTTAGCTGGAGGGAGCTACAGGGCACCACTGCTCTGGGGGACACTGCTCAGTCAGTCTCTGGAGTCAGCTGCTTGGGCGGCTTTGGGATCAGTCACTGCAAAAGTCACTGAGGCTGTGAACAGTCACAGAATCCATGACTTCTGCAACCTCAGTGACAGACACATAATTGTAATAATAAGTGATGTAATGAGGCAGCCTTTGAAAAGAAAACTGAGGATGGGAATGGGGACTATAACCCCATGTAAATGGAGCATGTTAATGGGCAGGAGCAGATAAGAGATTAAATCTAATTTATTGTAGGGATTTCTAAAGAACCTGTCACCACAGTATCTAACACCAGTAATAATATTCATTATTTATATAGTGCTTTATGTTTTCACAGTAGGGATGTGAAAAGTTAGCCAGTCACCAGTAACCTATGGGGGCTGGAGCAACTCCCTACCTACTGTGGGCAGGGGGCTGCTCCAGCTCCACAGGGGGCCTGCTGCAGATAGAGGCATCCTGCAGGCAGAGGTAGGAGCCTTGCGGGCTGGGGACTGCTCGAGTTGGGCTGGAGCGGGCCCCAGCCTGGATCCCACTTAGTCAGTTAACTGGTTAAACATTAGGTTGACTTTACACTTACCCAGTTAATTGATTAACCAGGGTTTTACACCCCTAGTTCACAGTGTGTAACATTGACTGGATAGTCCACAAAACACTGGAGGGAGATCTGTATTATTCCCAAGAGAAACTGAGGCACAGAAGGATTAATGGATTTGTTTGGAGTGGACTCACACATCAAGATCTACTACTACTTTAGTTATGCTAAATTCAGATTCCACCTGCACAAACCAGTTCTCTACATGCTCTGCTAACCTATTGCACTCTTCCTCTGCAGGGGTGAAGGGAAATGTGCAAGGAAACCTCTTCAAAATCATAACTAAAAATGACATTCATTACTACATCCAGGCCAGCTCGAAGGCAGAGCGAGCACAGTGGATTGAGGCCATCAAGCGGCTGACATGAGCAAGACGGACTCTATACCCAAGATAGGGATTAGGTGAATAATTGACATTCATGAGCAAACTTGCTGCTGTCTTTGCTAGGAGTGTTGACTCTGGGATGGCTGATCCATGAGATGGAAGAGCAAATCTTTTCATCCAATTTACATCTGGCAGATCAGTATCATGCTTCACCCTAAAGCAGAAAAGCCTTACTGGTTCCCCTCTTGCTAGGACACTCGGACATTCCAGTATCCCATGCCTACTGCAGTCACAGTGACTGAACCAAGGACTGTGGGTTGGGCTAGAACCAGCACAAGCACTCATTTCTGAGGCCACCTCATTTCACATAATGCTATGGAGTCTTTTGCTTGGTTGCACTCTGGTTGCCTCAGGGAATACCACACTGGAACAAACCAGTATACCTGCTGCATTATCCAACTGCCTGCAGTGCTGGAAAAAAACATTGTGCTGTAGGAACATAAGATCATACCCATAGTTCATCTACTCAAGTATCTGATCTCTGGAAGTGGCCAGTGCTACATTTACCAGGAGAAGAAGAGAACCCCACAATCCACTTGAGCAGCTATGTAACAATACATGGTAAAGGGGAGCTTTCCTCGCTGAACCCAATTGGAGATCAGTTTATGTGATTCACCAAAGGACTGATTAACTAATACAGTAATTTAATCCTACTTACTATTGTTTCTACTTCAAACCATTAAATTTTGCATTTTTTTAGTAAACTTGATATATGATCTCATTAAATCTAGTAATGGGGTTCTTGAAACGACTTTACCCTTTTCACATGATCTTTCCCAGAGGTGAGACCAAAGATGTGGGGAAAATAATGGTACTTAATTCAAGAAACAAGGAAAAATTTTATCCATGTTTCACTCATAATCTCAAATATCTCTCACTGTGCCAGAATAGCAGTGTTATGGAATAATTTCCCAAACATAATTCACAGAAACCTTCACATGGAAACAGTCACAGTAGAAAGGCTGGCTTGTTGACTTACAGGGACATTTTTAAGGACATGACTAAACAATACCTTTAGGACATTTCCCCTGGCCTCAGGGCATACCAACACCTCATTTCCCTTAATAAGACCACCCCATCACCAAGGTGCTAAGGACCCCTGATTTAGGAGCATGCTTAATAAGAGAATATAGACAGTCCATATTATTTCAAAATATTCTCCTTGTTTTCTGAACACACATAGCTGGCCCAAAAGAAGTGCAGCCCGAAAGAAGCCCTTTTATTCCAGATTTGTACTATGATAAGTCAGATCAGAATGTAGCTCATTGTTTTTAGGGGAGAGTTTTGCAAGAAAAGGATGGAAGCCTGAAAATGTAGATTGAAACTTATTGGAAAGGAATGTATCTTTTTCACTGTTTGCAAAACATCAAGTACACAGCGTAGTGTGTAAATATGTATAATAACAACAATCACATATTTGGAGGCTTTTCTAAACCTACCAGGGCAAATGATCAACACAACATTAAGACGGTTCAAATGTTTATTTCATAAAGCAGTTAAAGAGGTCTGTCAGTAAATGGGCATATTTAGCTTAATATAGGAACAGATGATGCAGATTTAGGCACAGATGTTACTGCACAGAGCCAGTTAACACAAGACTGCCAATACCGGGAGCAGCTGCACAGAGCTCCCAGTTCATGAGAGTTCCACTGACTACAAATAGTTGGAAATGCTGGTGAGTCATTCACAAGCAGCTTTGTACTGACTTCTGAGCACTGTGATAATAGCTTGGGGTAATATAGTGTCTGGCTCCATAACAAGGACCTTTCCTGCCACTACATGCTAAATCCTACTCACTTCTTCTAGATATGTGACCTAATAAACCCTCCCCCACCCATCCTCAGATAACTGAGTCCTCCAGGTAGCATGGCAGCCAATGAGGATTGAAAAGGCTGCACACTGTCTGACTAGGGTTGCTAGATGGCTGAAACAAAATACCGAACACCACCACCATCCCTCAAAAAAAATCACCGGGAAAAAATTTTGTTGAAGGAAAAAAAAAAGGAGGGGGACCAAAGTTAGTGAGCAAAAACAAAACAAAACAAAACAAAAAAACAGACACACTTCGTGTACGGGGAGGACCGGCCAAGAAGGGAGCGGTGCTGGCCGGGAAGGGGGGGCAACGGGCCAGCAGGTGCAGGGGAGCTGGCCGGGGAAGATCAAGAGGGGAAGTGAGAAAGAACCGGCCGGCCGGGAAGGGGGCGGTGTGAGCAAATTGGCCGGCGGGGAGCAGGACTGACCTGAGCACTTGCTGCCTGTCCCACGCAGGCTCCCGGCGATGCACGGGCGAGGAAGAGGCTTCCCCTCCTCCTAGCACTCAACCGATTGAGGGTTCTCGGCAGCAATCGCGGTCCTGCCTCCCAGCTGGGACTCCCAGCTGCTCCCCCGCCCACACCAGGCTTCCATCCCGTGCACAGCCGGAAAAATCAGAAAATACTAGACATTGCACATGTCCAGTATTTTCTGATCTTTTTTACTGGACAGAGCGCGCAAATACCAGACTGTCCAGCACAATACCGTACACCTGGCAACCCTATGTCTGACTCACAGGCCTTGCAATCTAGGAGACCCAAGAGAATGGCTTTGCAAGGGGCCTCATGTGCTTGAACTAGTCTTTCATTACAGCTCCTCAGGGTCTGTGAGAAAAAAAACAGATAAACCTAAGCAAATTCCACATTTAAAATCTCAAGAAGCATCAAGAAGGAAAGAGAAAATACTTCTATGTACATGGCAAAAGTACACTGCCTTAGTTCACTGGTGAAGTGGGGTCCTTTTTTCAAGCCACCTTAGTAAGCTTGATGTCCCCTGAGATTTGTAAAGCTGTTACCAAGTTCAGGGGATGAACACGGTGAGTGAAATAACAGAGCTGCCGTCCATCAAGCAGGACCCGGATCTGCTGGTGCTCACACAAGAGCTCCATCTGCAAGGGAGCAAGGGTAATGGGGGAATTAGAGGCCAGCACCATAGTCTAGTTCACTAGCTTGGACTCTGGAATCACGAGTGCTTTAGGAAATTGAGTTGAGCTTCTCTATATCTCCTATAAGTAACGACTTCTTATAGCAAATTATCCTCAGTGAACTTGCGAAAGAACTTGCCTATAGAGATGGTTCCTCCAAGTCAGGAGATGTTAGGGGAAGCTTGTATGGCCACTCCCCATGCTGTACTAGTTTGGTAGATAGACAAAAGTTAACTCCTCAGGGCTGGCAATCTAACAGCTTTCAACTGTATAAAATTCACTGAGTTGTACTCAGCTGGTCCCTCACTCTAGCGTTTCCCCCCTACACCCATGAGAACTAATGAGAATACCTTAAATGTGTCCCCTGCTGTGAATGGGAAGTAGGGAATAGTCTTCTCCTCTCTTCCCCATTTTCCAGCAATCAGTGCATTCCGGGTGATGGATTTCTCACTGAAGTTGACTGCAAGTAACAATCCGATATCCTTGCTTGCATCCAGGGGGTCACAGAGCAGAGTCACTGCAAAGCTGTAAGGACCAAGTCAGTGATCATGAACAGGACTGTCAGCAAACTACCAGAACATGCTTGGAGTGACAGATGCACATAAGGGCATATAGCAACTGTCTCAAAACACTTCATGTGGCAGATATAGTGAAGTTTTAAAGCTCTGGTGGTTGTAATATTCTGAAATGTTGCCATATTCCTCAGCAATTCTACTGAATAACGGAAGCAGACCTGCGCTGAAATAATCCATTTCATTTTTTCACTTTGGAATTGCTTAGCCAGTTTTATGCCAACTTTAAGCCAATCTGACCACATTCAGCAATGCTGGTCACTGTAGTTCTTAAGTCTGAGGACATTAACTAGTCTTAAGGTCTTAACTTGCGTGTTAAGGTATTAACTACTGATTTGTTTTAGGATGTGACATTGATATTTCAGTTATGTCCACACCCTGTAAATACCTCCATTCTATTATATAAATACTGGAGTTGTTTTTCTGTTTGATTAGAGAAGGGAAGAAAGGAGTGAGCTCTTTAATGCCAGATTGCTACCTTAATCACTTTCCTTTACAGTGCAAATCATATAACAACAAAAGAAATTCCTGGAGTGTCTATATTAGAGTTTGTCACAGTTTGAGTTAACTGCACCTGTATTTCTCCTTGGGGCTACCTGGAAGGCACCAATTTAAAGTTACAGGCTTTCACCTATTACCTCTTTTGGGCAGAGACCTTTATCTCTCCTGTTCCTGACTGGGGTTTTTAGCTCCCTGTCATATACTGTGAAATCCTCAGCAACCCCATCCCACCCCACCCCACCCCACAGCTAGTACCTGTACATTATTTTCTCACCAAGTTACCACACAGCTCCTCATCAAGCATATTTATTCTTAAGCATTACAGAGAAAACATTTAAATAAAAATTTCTATGCACATTCACCATCAGTCTAAGGAGACTCTAGTAAGTTACAATTTTTCTATCCCTTCTACAAGGATTGGAGCTCCCTCTTGGATAGAAATGTGTCCATTTGCTGGCCCGCAAAGTCAGTTTAAATCCAGCCTTTTCATAACAAAACCCCTTTCTTTGTATGCTGGTGTAGCAGAGTCCCTGCTCAGGCCCCTGGGGCTGGTACACCGGCTGGTCCACAAATCAGTCACAAGCCTTCTGATGCAAACACCCATGCCTTTATTGTAAGTTCCCACCACCTTCTATTTACATTTACATTTAGATTTTGCACAAAAACTTGCCAGCTATCTACACTGTCCGCTTGAATTTGCACAAGAGCACTGACATTCTAATGTAAGAATTCAGTGCTTCTTGCGCAAATACTTTGACGCTCCCACTCAGGGATAAGCCCTCTTGTGCAAGAATACTTGCTCAAGAGGGCCAGTGTAGACAGGCACCTTAATTTTTTGTGCAAGAAAGCCCAATGGCTAAAATGGCTTTCTTGCGCGTCTATACTGGGCACAGATGCTTTTGTGCAAAAGCACTTTTTGCACAAAAGCATCCGTGCCAATCTAGATGCTCTTTTGCGGAAATACTTTTAAGGGAAAAACTTTTCCGTTAAAAGTATTTCTGCAAAATCATGCCAGTCTAGACGCAGCCTTACAGTCCAGACAGCCCTAAGAGCACACTGAACCACACCCTGGCTCCTTACTCCTCCTTTCCCCTCTAGCTTCTTTCCTCTTGCCTTATATAGCCCACCTGCTGTGAGCCCCACAGCTGCTTCTGATAGCCCTGCTGGCCTGGGCTTGCTCAGCTGTTTCCCCTTAACCAGGCTACTGTGGCAGAGCTCTGGCTTAGCCAGTAGTCTGTCACAGCTGATCTCTGGAAGATCCAATTTTAATCAGAATATACAAACCTCCACAGTGAGTGGTACTTGAAGGTATTTAAAACCTCAGTGAGTCACACCAGTCGCACCTCATGGGGCTGTGGTAACACTCCCTCCCCCCCAGGCTATGTCTACACTTGTGGCTTCTTGTGCCAGAAATATGCAAATGAGGCCACGCATGGAATATCACCAAGCCTCATTTGCATGCCTAATGAGCCACCATTTTTGCAGAAGAGGTTCTTGTGCCAGAAGGAGCTGACTACACTGCCCCTTCTTGCGCAAGAAAGTTACGCCAATTATTTTCAGGAATAACGGCATTGCTCAAGAGGGGTTTTCTTGCACAAGAAGGGGCAGTATAGACAGCTCCTTCTGGCGCAAGAGCCTCTTCTGCAAAAATGGAGGTTCATTAGGCATGCAAATGAGGCTCAGCAATATTCCACACTTAGCTTCATTTGCATATTTCTGGCGCAAGAAGCCACGAGTGTAGACATAGCCCTAGAGTTGCATACAATCCTCTTGGAGCTTCTCAGGAATCTGAAGGTCCTGCCTCCATGCTTGAGAGCTGAGAATGGAATGGGTTTACACTAGACCACTAGTGATGGACTGCTGGGTATGGAGGGACAAAGGAGGTAATATTGTGTGTCCTTCATCTCAACTATACAGGCAAAGTGTACATGCTGAGTCATCAGGTAGCCTGATTCTCTACTTCTGTAGACTTTGTGTAGTTATGTTCATCCATGTAAAGTGCAAGCAAAGTTTCAATGCATAAATCATGAAGGGAAGTTCTATGATCTGGGGCAGACAGGAGGTCAGACTACATGTCTGTAAGGATCCAGTTTTGCCTTAAAAATCTCTGAATCTGGAGCAGAGGTGGAACAGAGCGATAGTCCCAGGAAGAGGAGGAAGGGAGCAAGTTCTTTCATACTGCTTGCCCTGTTCTCAGCTGGGTCCTAGCAGCACTCAGTATTTTGCTGAACTTCCCCCACAGCTGATGGCTGTGCCTGAGCACATATCTACTGCTAACTGTGTTCAAGATCACACTCCACCATGCTAAGTTTTAGTTATAGGTATTTTTAGTAAAAATCATGTACAGGTCATGGGCAATAAACAAACATTCATGGCCTGTGACCTGTCCATAACTTTTCCTATAAATAACCTTTGTTAAATCTCTGTTCCTGGGCCTTGCTCCAGCATTGAGGTTTGAGAGCCCAGGTGGCTCACTGCTAGCTCCCCCAGGACCACTGCTCGTGTGGTCCTCAGGACCAGTTGCCTGGGACCACTTGGACAGCAGCCAGTGTAGCTAACCCCAGGGCAGCCCCTGGAGCTGCTGCTCGGGCACTCCCCTGGACTATCCTCAGGATCACTGCTTGGGTGCTCCTCAGGGCCAGCTGCTCAGGTGTCCCTGGGATCAGCTGTATTGGCCATTGTAGCTGTGGAAGTTCAGAGGTCACAGAAAGTCATGGAATCTGTGATTTCTGCAACCACCGTGACAGAATCACAGTCTTACCCATGGATGAAGAAAAACTGTGGTAGAAGAGGAAACCTCTGCCTCAAAGAGGTAGATTTCCTGCAGGTCAGTGGTGAATATATCAGGATCAATATTTATAAATTAATGCCATCTAAACTGCACACAGTTACAACCCAGAGTTTTTTTTATGCTCAAAACCAGTGGATTCTACAATTTGTGCAAAATTAAAGATAATGATGATGTTGTCTTTATAGGCCTTCAACCACTAGCAGACATCATAATTCCAGATCCTGGATTGGTCTAATACTGCCCAACTGATGCTACGTCTACACAGCAGGTTTTTTGAGGAAGAGGAAATGCAAATGGAGTGCTCATTTGCATATATTGCACTCTCATTTGCATATCTTCTTCCAATGCTTTTTGTGGAAGAGGTTTTTGCAAGAAAAAGCCCTGTGTAGACAGGGCCATTTTTTGGAAAAAAAAACCCTTTTGCATAAGATCCCTTATTCCTTAAAAAATGAGGTTTACAACAGGCTCTTGTGCAAAAGGGTTTTTTTCCCGACAAATGGCCCCATCTACACAGAGCTTTTTAAAAATCTGCAGTGTAGTAGACGTAGCCAGAGTGAAAGACTACACATACATATCAGGCAGTTTATATCAGAAAGACAAGCAGCAGAAAATGATGTCGTTTGCCCAATCACTTTACCACATTTTTAGAGATACTGGGTTATCAATTAGAGACGTTAGAGTGTAACCAACTAACTGTTTAGCTCATAAACTGATACTTATCGGTTAATGGTGTTGGTTACACGCAGCTGGCTACCAGGGAGGTGACTCGCTGAAGCAGGGCAGCTAAGCCTCCTCCCTGGGAGCCGGGTGGACAAAGTCTGAAAATCTCAGTGGTTACATAGTTATATGCCGCAGGCTCTGCTGTATAAATCTTAAATAAGCTACATAATGCAGAATCCAGAGCGAAGCCTCCCCGGGAGTGGGGTCATCAGCCTCTGCCAGCCCGGCTCTCAGGGAGCGGAGCTATCAGGGCCTGGCCACCTGGCTCCCAGGGAGGTGGCTTCTCTGCAGCAGGGAAGCCTCCTCCCAGGGAGCCAGTCTGGCAGGGACTGGTGGTCCTGCTCCCAGGGAGGTTTTGTGAGCTCTATAGTATAAAGCTTATTTAAGTTTTATACTGCAAAGCCCACAGTATTTAACTGTAACCACTGAGATTTTCAGCGGTTATTCAGTTACCTATTTAACTGACTTTTAATATCCTTACTATCAATTGTCTCCCCCACTTCAGTCTAGAATTGGCCTGGACTCTCCTGGAATTGGCATCAATCTCCCATTGGCTATTGAAAGCAATCCTGGAGATTTTAATAGGATTTCTTACAGAAAATTACATGTAGTCATGTTTGGGGGAGCAATAAATCTTCCCTGGATAGTGTTGCCAACTCTGACTAAAGCTATTTCAATCTCACTTCTATATAAGAGATTAGGTTGTGGGCCGTAATAATGAGTCTGTACAGCTTCCCCTCCAAACTCAAAACAGCACATGCCCTCAATGACCCTCTAGTGCTTATGGCCAGCTTAGATGACAGATACTCCTGTGTGTGAAACAACCAATTGAACAACAGGTCCCCAGCCTACCTCTTGGGGTTGGAACATATGACCCCAATAATAGTAATTTTCATGGCTGGTCTCAGTCCTCCTTTAATTTCACCAACATATCGCTCCACCTAGTGGAAAAAAGTAACTATTACTCATCTCTAGATTTACCGCCTGCATGATAAACTGCAGAACCATGTGAATAAACTGCATGTATTATACACTTCTGTCATCTCACTGGCCTTGTGTTCACTGATCAATTTTCCTTGGGACTTATTCTAACATTGCAAACTACTAGGTACCTTTAATCCACTGCCATTTTTTAAAATAACTATAAAATTTTTCCTGATTAAATTATTCTTTAACCTGTCTACAAATAGCTGCAAATCAATTCCACTTTTACTTACTTCAAGCAGCTCCCTAATGTGTTTTAGAGGTTAGTGGCAACTTTAGTAGAAAGAGTGGTCAATGCAGGGGATTAGAATTGGGATAATACTTATCTCACAGGGATGTTTTGCAAGTTAATGATTATAAACTAATTTTAAAGTGTAAAGGGCTATAAATACATAAGTAGTATATCTTTGTACTCATTTACATGTGTAATAAATTTTGAGAACTCTTAGAGAAAAGATGTGATAACTTTTAGCTCTTCTATGTTATTAGCAATTTTCATAAATTGCTTTATTTTCCAACTTCAGTGCACAGTTAAAACTAACTAAAGAGTCAAAAAACTGAAGTCTTGCCAGCCTAACATACAACTGAAGTCACTGGGAGCTCTGCACAAATACACATTTAGAATTTAGCAGGATAGAGGGTGAAAAAAGTTCAAGGATAGAGGGGTGAAAAAAGTTAAGGGAGTTGATTATAAAATGTAAGAACATTAATTGTCACACGTTCACCCATGCTTTATGAAAATTGTCTTATGAGTATGAGAATGTATAACTTGAAAATGCTTTATGCAAAACAAATCATGTGATATGTAATTTTAAAGATTGTAACCCACTGAATCTGTATATCCTATTTTTGTGCATGTATCATTATTGAATGTGAAGTTAGAGAAATATGAAGTGTGGATCTGTTTATAATTCTAAATGTGCTAATGAGGGCCATTACTGATGCTCCAGAAACTCAGTACTCAAACCAACAACCTGTGAAAAGTGAAGAAGTGGGTTGTGCCCATAAAAGCTCATGATACCCTCTGCATTTTTTGTTAGTCTTAAGGTGCTGGAGAGATTGTCCTGTAAGCCCAAACTGTGATTGGTCCCAGAAAAACTAATGACCAAGACACCTGTACTTTTCCACTTGAAGTGAGAAAAGTCTGAACTGAACACAATCAGTTGCCACCTTGGACAAAAGAAATATAAGAGAAAACGAACAATAGGGGCAGTTGTCAGGCACCAGAAGATCCCACCCTCTTACCACCTAAGCTGCCTGTTGGAAACATCTAAGATTTGAACAGGAGGAAGGATCAGATCCAAGCTAAGAGACTGCTTAGCTTGTGAAAGCGGCATTTAGATCAACTGTTTAGGGTAAAAATTCATATGTAACAAATTTCTTAGTAGATTAGAATTAGCCAGTATTCTTTTATTTTAATTTAGCAATTTTCTTTGCTGTGACTGTTTTCGCTTGCAACCATTTAAATCCTACTTTTGTACTTAATAAAAACACTTTGGATTATTATCAAGCCCAATATATGTTACCTGCAGGGGTGGAAACTACTGTGCATCTTTTTCGTAGATAAAGAGGGCAAACTTATATGCTTTCCCTGTGTAAAACTTTTATAGAGTAGGATGGATTTATTTACGGTTTTGATCCCTTTTGGGGTTGGTTTCCTAGGTGGTAAGTCCTTAAAGCAGGGCTATTCAACATGTGGTCCATGGGCCGCATGCAGCCCGCTGCCTGTATGTTTGCGGCCCACTGCGTGGTTTGGGTGTACATAGGGCTCAACACGTAGCCTGTAGCTGGGATCCTTTGAATACGGCCTCCACTAGGAACACCCTCCACAACAGTGAGGTGTCTCCCACATGAGGTGAGCACTGAAAGATGCAAGCGGACAGATTGGCTAGAACAGGGTGTCGACGTTGCTAGCACCCAGAGAGGAGGTGCCGGGAGCACCAAAGCATTGTGGGAAGTGCTTTGTATTCATGTCCACCAGTGTGAAAGAAGCTATTTGCATATATATTTGCATGTATATGGAACCACACTTAAGTTCCATCCCTCGGCATGTGCTGTGAGTATTATTGTGGCTCCCAGGGACTTTCAAAGTTGAGTAGCCCTGCCTGAAAGTTAAGTACTCCCAGAGCAGAACCTGTTCAGTGTCTATGTTGCTTTGCAAAAGGGCGATTACCCCAACTGTGTGCCTTGCCTGGGGAGACCAAAGCTTATGGCCCAACAGGACAGGGTGGAGGTGAGGTACAGAGTAAGGATGTTAAGGACTAGTCAACTATCTGATAAGCAAATGCTTATCGGAGAGTCAAATCGACTAGTCGCTTCCTCTCCCCCACTTTGCTGCCTCTAACATATAGAGGGAGGACTTCAAAGCAACAGCGCCACACGGAGCCCGGTAAGGGGGAGGGGGGCCTGAGCTCCTGGACCCGGTGCAAGCCAGAACTGCCCCAGGCTGCCTGCCTGCCCCCTAATACACTTTCTTGGCCTGGGGGGTAGAGGGTGGGGAGGAAATGTGTGTGGTGTATAGCATAAACCCATAAGCTTTTGCTTATTGGTTAATCAGTGAATTGACTATACCATTACATGCCTAGTTCGCGGTGCAGGGCGACCGCCAGCTTTCTAGGAGCAGGGCTGGCAGTTGAAGCCAGTGTGCACTGGGAGTAAGTAATTTTTATCAGAAGGGGGTCACAGTGCAATGAAATTTGAGAATCTCTGTACTAGAGCATCTACTGTTTTAACAAATGTGCAGTTATTCCTTGGGGAAACTCAGCAGCAACCCCATGCAGGTAAATTTAGGTTACTCATCAGAAGAAGTGTTAAAGGATGAAATATTAGACTGTGGTGTACCCCAAGGGAAGTGGCAGATTCCCCTGAGATATTTAAAATTAGACAAAGTAGCAGAAAATGTTTCCTCCTCCCATGAATCCTCATTACTTTAAGTGAGAGACAGTAAAATGAAATAACATGGTACAACCTAAAAGATGTGCTAGAGATTAACTACTTAATGTTTGAAAAGCCCTATATCATAAATATTATCATTCATATGTATGATACCACATAAAGAATAAATGTAAGTGTACTCCTGGCTTCCATCCAATTTTAGCATTTATAATTTCTTCCATGGTACCCTGAATATAGCCCGGGTATCTGAATACAGCCAGATGTTTGATCATTCACAGGTCATTTCCTAGTTCAGATGGAGCAAATGATACGTTTGAAACCTACTCCGGGAATTCAGCAAGAAGTAGCAGGATCCTGAACAGGCCTTAATTTGGTTACAGGAGGACCTACTATGCACCTCTGGCAGTTGTGTCTTTAAATATAGTTATACATATGATATAAAACATATTTTCAATTTTAAAAACCCACCAGTGGATTTATTCACTTACATTTTTGCCCCTGTCGTTTTCTGTCATCTCTGTCTTTTGCTTGTCTCCTGTGCAGCAGTCTCACAGCAAATTTTTTCTTTGTGAGCAGAGAAAATACACAAAATCCCCAGAATAAAGGGAGGATGTAAGGAAGCACATTATCTCAGTGGAACACTGGTTAGACCCCACCCGCTCAAATAGCTGAGTCATTAGCGCTTACTCTTCATCTTCCATCACACAGAGGCAAAATGAGATAGAGAAACAGTGAGAGATATGATGGCTCAAAGATATAGAATCCAGCAGGGAACTAGTAATCAGATCTAGAAATAGTTTAGGGCATCCATGATAATGCAATTAATTCCAGGCAGTTGAACCCTGGCACTTGTGTGGACCCCACTGACTTCAGTGGGGTTCCATGCAGACACAAGCGTCTAGTCAGGCAGAACTCACTCTAAACTGTTAGTAACTAAAAATCATTAGCTAATGGTTGCTAGTAGCCTAAGGTAAAGGTATTGTTGGTATCAATCCAGGTCATCTTTGCTCAAGCATCCATATCACAAAAACACCCTCAAAGATGGCATAGTTATTTTTGTTGCCCTTCTCTGTACTTTTTCCAAATCTATCTTATTGAGATGGTGTGACTAAAACTGCATTTAGTCTTCAAAGTGTAGACATACCATGGGATTGACATACAGGTTGAACCTCTCTAATCTGATGCTCTCTGGTGCAGCAACATCCATGGTCTGGCATGGTTTTAGTTAGCCAGATGTCCACTTATCATGGGTGTGGCCAAGTTGCCTGTGGTCCAATAAAATTTGTTTTCAGTCACCAGTCCTGGCTCTCAGTGTTCTGTGCTGTTATTTAGTTCTAATTAACCCCAAAATGTCTTCAAAGAGCCCAGTAAGCCGTGGAAGTGTTGGTAATGCTGCTAGACAATATTGACCTCCCATGATTCAGCAAATTCTCTGGTTTGGCACTGGTTAGGTCCCAAGGGTGCCAGACTAGAGAGGGTCAACCTGTAGTAGCATTACGATCCTTTCTATATTATTATCTATCAATTTCCTAATGGTTCTTAACATTCTTTTAGCTTTACTGACTGCTGCTGTTCCTTCAGTGAATGTTTTCAGAGAACTTTCTACAATGGCTCTAAGTTTTCTTTCTAGTAACAGATAATTTACACCCCATAATTTTGTGTATATATATTTAGGATTACATTTTTCCATGTGCATTATTTTGCATTTATCAATACTGAATTTCCTTTGCCATTTTGTTGCCCAATCACCAAGTTTTGGTAACATTTCAGAGTTTGCTTTGGATTCAACTATCTCAATTGTGTATCATCATTTTCAGATCATTTATGAATGCTGTGAGCAGCACTGGCCCCAATATGGACCCCTGGGGGACACCACTATTTACCTCGCTCCACTTTAAAAACTGACTATTTATTCCTACCTTTTTTCTCTTTTAAGAAGCTGATCTAAGCAATAGCCTACATACCATAGTTAATAGTTCCACAATTTTGTATTTGAGTTCCTTCAAAACTCTTGGATGAGTACCATCTGGTCCTCTGACTTGTAACTAGAGCCTTTCGCATATACAAAATTGGTATCCACATCTACATCTGCAAAAACGAGCTGCAGATATCCAAATCCACATCCTCTGATATCCATAGATGTAAAGTGGTTAACAACAAATGTGCAGGGTTCAAGACACAAAATTTGTATCTGCATTTGCATCCGTAAAAATGAGTAGTGAATCTCCACATTCATGGGATACAGATATCCACAGATTTGCGTGGCTCTACTTGTACCTGTTTATCAATTTGTTCTAAAACTTCCTCCCCATTGACACCTCTATATGTGCCAGCTCCTCAGATTTGCCACCTAAAAAGAATGGTTTAGGAGAGGGACTCTCCCTTACATCCTCTGCAAATGAAGAGCAATGAAAAGAATTTAGCTTTTCCACAATGGCCTTATTTTCCTTGACAAACAAGTAGTCCTGTGGCACCTTGATCATCATCTGCAATTTTTTTGTTCTTGAACAAATAATGGGCCATCCAGTTCCAGTCCATGTTTTCCTTACATTCAATGACAAGTGCATCAAAAACTAAGTTTAGGACACTTCTAGCCCACTCAATTTGCCTCAGCAGCACCAGCACTACAATTGACAGGTATTCCCCCCAATCCCTCCCTTCTTTTTTTGCTATAAATTGTGAGGGCCTCCCACTCTGCTCATCTGAGGAAGTGGGTTTTGCCCCTGAAAGCTGATGATTTTATATAGTTTGTCTCTAAAGTGCAACAAGACTACTCATAGTTTTTAAAGTTACAAACATGGCTACTACTCTGAGACTTTTATATTCCTGAGCTCTTCTTCAGCTCCTTGATTGTCCACTGACCCCCTCCGATTATATGGGAAGTTTCAGGTGTCTGACGCATTTTTCAGTACTCATTTTTGAGTCTTTGTCTAATTGCTTTTTGACTTGTCTAATATACTTTTGTGCTTGACTTGCCAGCGTTTATGCGGCTATTTTCCTTAGCAGGATTTAGGATTTCCAATTTTTAAAAGCCATTAATGAAACAGATGATAAGAAGCCTTCCGAAAAGCCCCAGCTTGTTTGGTTAGTTATGGCTGGGGAGGCATCTGTGTCCTGAGTGAGTGGCTGAAGATCGGAGACGAAACCGAAGCCAGAGAAAGGGCAGTTGGGTGCGGTTAAGCGAAGGAAAAATCCTGCTCATGCTCCACTGCACCCTACCGGGTAATTCGCAGCCGTGCAAAGGGGGTAAACAGCTACCAGGGCGGGGCTAGCGGCCTAGCTCCAGGGCAAGCTGCGGGCACAGCCCCGTCCTGAGGGGTGGGGTCTTAGGCAGCCCACAGGGGGAAGCGGGTCACTCGGAGACGGCAGGGCGAGAGCGCGCGCCCGCTCGAGGGCGGCAGTTTCCCCGGACCAGGCTCTCGACGAGCCGGACAGTCAGCACTTCCCGCCTCTCCGGCCCACGCAACGGGCGGGGCTCGGGTCTGTTAGCTTCGGGTCGCAGGGGCAGAACCAGCTCTGGGTGAGGGGGAGGGGCCTGTGGGGCGGGGTTAACGCTGTGCCTGCGGGCGAGCCTGGTTGGGCGGGTGTCTGGCTCAGGGCTAGCAATGTGTCTCTGACACGTGGTTTCTTGCCCGCTTCAGTAATGGCGCCCGTGAGGCTTCCGAGCCCCTCTAGAAAGATGGCACTTTATTTACATCTTCATCCGCTTTAACCAATGGGCTCTCGCCGTTCTGAATGTGCCGGCAGTCGGGAAAGTCACCTGATTAGTCTTTCAAGATGGCCGCGGCGCCAGGTTGCTCAGTCTGGGGAATGCAACCCGTGCAGACCGTCCCATAAACCCCGAGTGTGGAGGGGGAGCCGGGCCGATCCACCGCCATTGGCGCTTCCCTAAGGGGTGCGCATCTCGTGCACAGCAGCCC